CAGTTATTGCTTATAGTGACCACAGAGCAGAAGAAATGGCTCCCCGGGGCTGTTGTTATCTGACACAATTCTGTGCCCACTACTGGACAGGTACCATGCTCTGTCATGTAATTTATGGCGCCTGCGCAATGTACACTGTGATTTGTCCGAGATACACTGTCATTTCTGTGTTGATGCGCGTGATCGTTGCCAGTTCGAAAAAGATGTTTGTGTTCGTTCATGCAAAGATCACATGACGAAAAACAAATGTTAGGACGTCGTATATAGGTCATGTATGACAACAAGTCACCGTATATGTCATTTATATATTACATGACAACGGTAGCCAAAGGTTGAACAGAAACGATAAAAAAATCAACAGTGTGTAGTTGGGTATTGTTATCTTTAAGCCCTCCCAGGCTGATCTTCTGAGGCTTCGTGTAGTATTTGAATATATATAGGAAATCTAACAACATACATATATAGTTGTCACTATATTATGGTAGAATCCTCGAGTACTAGGGGCCACGCTGCAAGAGAGGTATGATGGTTGGTTTGTGCCATTTCGGAAAGGATACCGTTTTACGTGAAAGAGCGATCTTTACTCTTGTCCTTTCAGGAGGACGAAAGGACCGACGAAAGGACACCCAACAGACACCGTAATATACCCTGGGCACGAGCTTTTCCTGACGATATTGCGGACAGCAATCGAGCTTTCGTGCAGGATAAGGGTTAAGGACAATGAAACAGTACGGTATATTACAAATAAAGTTAACGTAAATAAAAGTTTAAACACGAAGAGAGCGTTTCAATCAGCGGGATCTGAGAACGAAAGAGGCAAATTGAGAAACAATGTCTTTTCACGGTGTTCTCTTGCACAGGGACCTGACAATTTGTTACAGCTATATTTAGACCTAAACTAACCAAATATAGCTGTAACAAATTATCAGGGCCCTGTGTTCTGTTGTGTGAAACATGTTACTCAAACATGTTACTTTCTGTAGTATATCCTGTGTGACAAGGTACCACTTATTAAAATATGCGGCTGAATTCGATACAAGTTTAAGTTACATTTGAGTTTTAATACAGAAAGGTAATTTCGGACCGGTCACTGTATTTCCGGTCAATGGATTCTCACAGTTGGAAAGGTAAGTACGGGTTCTTTCATCGTCACTGAACCTTACAATCTACCTGTTAGTTGGCATTGGAAATCAACGAACCGCCTAGACTGATTACATAACGTCAAAGAGCTCCTGAAGGGGAGACAACACAATCTAGATAACCGGTATGCCCGAAAGGTTAAAATGAATTAAACGCACCCGAAACTTTCCTAAGCTCAAAATACGGGTAATTATATTTTAATTACTTGGTTCCTGGACGGTAACTACATAATCATTGATCGCGACTTAGATCTAACGCCACCGACAACACTCCGCTCTACGGATGGTCAAATTTAAATTGGTGCCGACCGTCATTGCCCGTGGTGTGAAAAGTGAGGTAAATTAGTGAGGAGAGGAAATACCGGACAACAGGAGATAGGATCAAATAGGTTTGACCTGTGGCTAACTTCAATGATTGACCGCCCGACTTTTACATTAATGAGACACGGGACTCCTTTTTCATTATTATTTGTTAATTTGTTCTGCGACATGTGAAAAGACTAAGAGGTCTTACATGTAACGGTAAATCTTTTCACCTTCGTCAATGGTCAAGCTGGACGTAATAAAAGATGATTTGGATTTAAAAGCCCAATGTCTGGTTTGAACCATTAAAGGTGCCGACATCATTATACTGTATAATTTATGCCATGACGTTACGACATCGAATACAGGAAATATAACAGTAGGATGACAATCGTTATGTGTTCGAACAGGTACAATCATCATTAGACATGTCATTAATATTTTTTGAAATGTTGTTTACAATCAAAAAACGGCAACTGATATATCGATTGTAACATACCAGTCACGGTACTATATTCTGACGTTGTTGGTCTGAGAAAACTTCAATGTAAGTGACGCTGACCGGTTAGGTTGTATCGGGGTGGTATGGGGGCAGGGGTAGGGGATGTTG